TAATGTTCTAGTGATATAATTATATCTTTCTTATTACTATAAACTTTATTTTTAGTGGTTACACTTGTTTCAGTTGACATCCCTGTTTTATTCATATTTATTTTAAACAGTGAAATTAATGTCAAACGGCCTAGATTAAGCAGTCCTACTAAAGTGTTTCCTACCAAATCAACTATGGCAAAACTATCATAATTCCTTGATAAATTCATGTCTACTGGCCTGTGTGTTCAAGAATCTTGAAAATGTGCCTTCTAATAGGGTTCAAAGTCATGCCAATGTATTTTTAGAATGGTGCAGAGACAATGGCACAAGTGCTCAAGTAAGCACAGATAATGTCAGTATAAAACCCAGGATTTGATATCATATAGAAAGGAGACTATCATAATTTCAATTGCTCCAGACACATTTACATAGCTTGCCAATTGGCTTCATTAGCCTTAGACAATCTGTTGGCCCTTTCTTTGTTCAGTTGGCCATCAGTGCATATGATTTCCAAGGATGAGAGTAGGTTCTAAGTTTATGCAAGTGATGTGTGTGACAAACTTGAGGAGCAATATCTTACAGAATGTATTCACCTATAATAAACAGGTCCGAGTAGGGCCAGCTTAAGGTACTGGCAACTCAGGCAGTCTCCCAGGGTGCCATCATGCTTCCATGTCATGTGTTTGGGATCTTCCAAAAGTAAATCTTATAAAAACATACTTGCAGTAGTCCATGGCTCAAGACATTAAATTCTTTGACAATAGAAAATGATCTTGTAAAGAAAATAGGTGTAGAAAGTGCCATGATCTAAAGGCTAGAAAAAATAGGATAATGAATGTTTTCTTTAGCTTGTATTAAGTTGTATATTGTAATAAACTCATTATTCTATATTTTCAATTTTTCACCTTGTGAATACTTTAAAAAATTATGCCTGCAAGGGTGCCAAAGTACAGCTTGTCTGGGGTGCCAGCAACCCTAGGGCCATCTGTGCTATGATTAACACCAGGGCTAATACGTACTACTGATTGGGGGACCCAGAGGCAGTGTTTTGTGACCATGACTATCTTATCAACATTTTCTTTTTTCTACCTACAGTTATATACATTACAAATTAAACCAAGCACAACTGACTATTAAAGGATGGAAAATTTTTACAGATTTTGACGTCATTCTAGTTTATTTTTGTCCAAATCCATGAATTTGTTTTGCTCATTCTAAGTCTTGAAAAAACACTCTAAAAAATTCAGTATTTTTAATCCATAATACTGAAAGTCTTAAAATTATTCAACTTTTTAACAACAAAAATCTCAAGTTGATGTTAAAAATTGCTGCAAAATATTGTTGATTTATTTAACTTTGAATGATCTATTATGACATTTCTAATTTTTATTGCATATGATCCATTATTTAATTAGATTAAAATTTGTATTTTATATGAATACTACCTTATAAAAATCGGGATGTAGTAGAGTGAGGACATATCATAGATGAGGAGGCATGAACCTTTTGCACCAACCCGGATTAATATTATCATTCAGGTGTTTGAGGACATAACATTGGACAATACCATGTAGACCTGATACATTGTTCCACCTATTCCTTTACTGATTGCCAACCATGACAAGCATAGATGGAGGAAGAAGAGATGGATTCGTACTTTTTCCAAGGATATTTGTGTGAAAGTGAGTATAATGATCTCGAGTGGAAATTGAACTCATCCTACCGAATTCACAACCAAGGCCTATAACCATTATACCATCTGCACATCCTAAACAATCTGTGTACACAATCTTTTTTTTTTAATAAGTAACTTGTTTCAAAGCAACTGTATTCAATTTTGTCTAAATCTTAAGCAATTCCATAACTAACATCAGTGTAGCTTAAGTACCAGATAAGGCCGCATCTCTTGAATATATAATGCAGATTTAAATCATTAAACTCCACATCTTCTTCTTCTAGTGCCACGTCTTTTCAAGATGTGGATGATCATGGCTCTCCACAACTATCTTCTGTAGCTCTTAGCAATGTTTTTTTTAACCTTCTCACTCACTGATCTATTTACACACAATTGTTAGGTAGGGTACTGTTTCTTTCAGTCCCTCTTGTCTTTAATATGTCCTGTGAGTGTCAATTTCTCCAAGCCAGCTTTTTTCATTATGTGTCCTGGAAATTTCAACTGTCTCTGATTCTAAGCATAAGCATCTTTTTGTTTCCATTTTCCTTAAAACTTCCTCATTACTAACATCTTCAGTCAATTCTATTCTCAGAATCCTTCTGAAGAACAACATTTCTGTTGTCTCAAGTTTTTTCTATGAAAAGATCATCCAACATTATATATATATATATATACAAGTTTTGCCAATGTACTGTGAAGAATAGTTGTGGAGTTGTGGTTGTTTATTTTATATATCCTTACTTCAGAATTATTATTGTTGTGGGTATTTTTGGTTCTGATCATACTCATAATATTTTTGGATGTGGTTGTAATTATTCTGATATTGTTAAGATTGGATAAATTATGTTGGATAGATGTTAAAAAATATATATTCAATATCATTTACTCACTTTCATATATTAGACATTAAAGTTAACTTGATAAGTATTTTTGAGTGTCTCTTCAATTACAAAAATTTTTAAAAACAAACATTTTTACTTTTGTTTATAAATACTTGTTGCAAAATAAAATCTTTCCATTTGCCTTATTAAAGGATGGAAAAGCATGGGCAAAGATAAGTTTGTCCTTTTACAGACATATTGTAGTTATATCTGAAATTCTTTTTACAAATACACACACATATACATATATACATATATATATCTCCAAATGTAATGAGAACAAAAATAATATATAAATTCTAACGTTCACATCATTAGTTCAAAAGAGGATTGTCAAACTGAACCCTTTATTTCACTCACTGGGGTAGACTGTTCTACTGTCAGTTATCTCCTGCTAATTCCCCTCTCCAAGTTCTCCACCACCTTAACCAGGTATTGAACTCACACTGTTTGAGTCTTGTCACTGGATCTAACCAACGCCTTTATTTACTGTGCCATGTGTCCTTGAGGACATCTGTATATGAATTTCTGGCTAATGTCTTCAGCAATCATTTTTTTGAATGCTCATATTGCAATTTTTGCTGTTATCATACATGTTTTTACCAGAGCTCATATTGCAATTTTTTTGTCGTTATCACTTTTCTTTGGCACTCCTTATTACTGGTTCCCATATTGTACTCATTTCTATGCTTGGTTGGCTCAGGAGATTTTTATGGCCTAGCATATGTGCTGATTCCTTAAGTTTATGAATTTTCCAATGGTGTTCTTTGTCTCAACCTGACCTACAGAGGACGGTGATCTCCCTTTTCTCTCCATATATGGTCAGCCACACCTGATTTTTCCACTTCCCTTTGTGTTACAGCTTTCTGGTGTTCTTGAAGCTTCAAGGACACATGGCACAGTGGATAAAGGTGTTGGCTAGATCCAGTGACAGGACCCAGAGTGTGAGTTCAATACCTGGTTAAGGCAGTGGAGAACTTGGAGAGAGGAATTAACAGGAGATAACTGACATCCATTAAACATGGCATACCAAAGTGCATTTCAACCACCTGAAGAAGGCTGGAGTGTACAACAGCCAAAATGTAATAAATATGGCAAGAAAGATGAGGACAATAGTCCGAATAATGTAAATAATGTACATAACACCTCATCTCAGAAATATAGACAGATACTGAATTTTTGTTAAGATTTACAAACTCTCCATTTAAATCAATTTCGCAAACCATTCAATGAAATTTGAATACACCAGTTTGTTTGGAAAATACTTTGACTGAAATCATACTTTATAGTTTAATAATTTCTTTAAATTTAATTTAATTTTATAGGATTTCATGGTAAACAACAATTTTTAAGAAAATTTCTTTTTTAACAGCAAAGAATAAATTCTTACAACTGGCAATGCATAAATATTTCTTTCTGGAGCCAAATTCCAACTTTTTGAAGCATTTGGCCTTGTGATTTGTCTATAGTTCTTGTAAATGCAGGGTGAACTGGAAACTGGGTTCTTGTTCATTTGATAGGATATTTAGATGGTTTAGGAATAAACTTTATTCTTGGGATTAATACCATCCGTCCTGTTCCAAACACAGTACATTATTGTAGTCTATTTTCAATAAGTATGTTGAACATAAGATTTTTTCCATTATATAGGCCTACTCAGGGATTTATTTTGCACAAAGCATCAATGGCATTCCTGGTTTCAACAATAGGTTGTGTCTTGGAAATTTGTTTGACACTAATGTCTTCAAATACTCAACATTGAAACGTAGAATATCATTTGCATTAGTGAGGCTATCTGCACTCCTCAACTTTATTAAGTTTCCTTTTGGCCAATCATGTATTGTCTCATTTATATCACTACTCCTCTTGAAATCATCTACCCATTTGAAACTCCCTACCATTGTTTATAGTTACAGTGCTATTACTGTGCATTATATTTTACAAGAATGAAATATATATAAAAACTTAAATAAATCATATACAAAAAACAATATTGCATTTTTATTAAATAATTATGTTATTTTAATCATTAATTTTTTTAAAAATAGAGTACTTTGTATGTTAAACAATAAAACTTTTAATTTTTCAAAAAAATATTGTGTTGACCTACACACACTAGTAAAACCAACTGTACTTTGTATCCACTTACCTGTTTGCATGTCTCCCCAAAATTTAGTTTTGATCAGTCAATGTATGGCTATTTTAGAGAATATAATGGATAGTTGGACTAATGGAACTCACAGAATTTTATATATATATATATATATATATATATATATATATATATATATATATATATATATATATCAATTCCCAGATTTCTCTTTTCTAAATATCATGAGAACAAAATATTTTAATTATGTTGCTTTAAAAATCAGTTCCTATCTCACAATCATTAAAGAAAAAGCATCTTGCTTAGGTGAATTCATTATATTTCAATTTCTTCAAATGATTTTTTTTGTTTAAAACATTCTGATAAATGGTGGGCCTGGTAAAAGATTCTCTTTGCCATATAGAGAGCAGTTCTTCAGGTGACAGGGAACTGGACTCCAAGCATAACGAACACCACAAATGAGGTGATGTGGACAAATTCCAGTAGTTAAGATCATTACAGTGTTGCTTGTATTAAGTGAGGCTGGTGCTGGATGCCATTTTTGAAAAGTACAATTTTTATATGATGGATGAGGACAGGAAATCTGGAATAATAAAATAATTCATAAGAAATAATAGTAAAAAAAGATAAAAAAAAAAATAACAGAAATTGCAGTATGCAAGTAGAACCTACATATAAGATATTTAATTCAAAATTCATGTTCAGGCTTTACCTGCCAAATGTTTAATCCCACCTTAACAATAACCCCAACAGCCTACCTAACACTTAGTGTACTATTTACCATGTGACACTGTGATAATATACAACGAGCTCTTTAAGTGACTTCTATTGAGAAAGTGAATTTGAATACGTCATAAAGGTGAGATATGTAACTTATCTTTGACACTCAGAACTGAAAAAGAAGGAAAGTGTATGGGGGTGGGGGAGTATAAGGAGACAAGAAAATGTTGACAAGGAGAAATAACCACATTTGACACAAATATTTACATACAGAAACACACACACACACACAGAGAAAAAAATCAACTTAAAACTAGTAACTAGTGCATAAATTAATTTTTAACTTAGTATAGAAATAATGAAAATGAGAAAAATCTGCAGTCAATTGCTGAAACCTCCTGACAAGTGGACTTGTAGGTTATCCCACTTTGCCAAAAAAATGTCACCAGGAGGCATGCCTTAGGCCTATAAAAAGGCATGCATTTCTCTCCCTAGCCTCTTTCACAGCTTTTTATCTCTGGCTTTCAGATGTAGTTGCACGTGGTAAAGTGTCTCCCACTGGGGCACATTCATTTTCATGGTTTTCTCTTTTGTACTCTCTCTCACACACTTGTTACACACATACACACACACACACACACACACACACACACACACACACACACACACAAGCACATTCTTATTGTTACAGTTTTTTTGGATACATGTATGTACTAGTGAGCCAACCAAAATAAGCTGACTCATTTTATAGTCCACCAAGAGAAGAGTTAACCAATCAGAAAGCTCAAAATATTCAATCCGACATGTATAAATGCAGCCATTTTGTTTTTTTCTCCAAAAATAACTTCACTGCCAACCTCTGATATTGAAGACTTAAAGAATTACTTAACAGCTGCTACTTTCTCTGAATCTTCACTGCCAACCTCTGATATTGAACACATTACGTACTTCACTGGATTCTATATTCAAAGACTACGGCAAACATGGTTAACAATTATAGCTAGTTTCATGTTTTTTTTTTCTTTTCATCACATATAATTCTTTTTGAAATACATTTCACTGTAGTTTGTTTTATATTTATTGTTTTGTTTTACACATTTTTTTTTCTTGGACTCATATTATGTACCAACTAATATTGGAATATATTTTCCTGGAGCCCATGAATATTTACTCTCCAAAGTGTTGTTTCCCCACAACATAATGGTTATTAATATTGACATAAACATACTTTACACCCTGAAACACAGACTTAACAGTTACAAAATGGTTTCTCTATGAAACTCTTGAGGTGCTGAATATAACATCAATCAGCTAAGTGACAAATTTTATTTATATTAATCCTATATATATAAAGTTGTTTTCTCTGTGCTTTTTCTATAAATACTTTCATATTAATTGTTCGGATGAGCTCTTTGCTATGGTATCTAGACAATGAATTTAAGCGCTGTACTAGACTGGCAACAAGGTCTCATCAATTTACAGTTGAGCTGACTAGATGTAACTGTAAGTTCTATGCTAACAGTTTCTTCTCCCGCACTTCTTGTTTGTGGAACTTCCTTCCGGTTCCATGCTTTCCAGTCAATTTTAACCTTCAAAAATTTAGATACAATGTCAATTGCTATCTACTGTCTTTCTGATTATTCTTCTATTGTTCTCGCTCCTAAGTAATGTTTCTGTTTTCTGAAACTTTCATACCCAGTAACCGCTTCTGTCTTAGTGGCTTTACTGCCAGAAACATAGAAGAATCCTCCAGCAGCTCCACATTCCCATCGCTATGGATACACATATATAAAAAAAAAATCTAGCTCAATATGTGTATTAGCTCTTGTGTGGTATACACATTCTGATACTTACCAGGCACAGGGATCCATCCATGGGCTGGTAGTATCGCAGTTGTGACTAGCTTGGATTGGCTCTGACCAGCTTGGACCAGCTATGACTAGCTTAGACCAGCTCTTACCAGCTTGGACAAGCTATGACCACCTAAGACCAGTGGCCCAAGGGAAGGCACTCGAGTCCCCACGTTAAAAACCAACCTTGTATCACAACCTGACTCAGTTTGGGGGGGGGGTCAAGTCATATATAAAAAAATCTACATATTCAGTTAAAAATAAAAACATCCTTGAAAATGGCTAACAGAAAAACCAAAAGCACTTAAATATACGGAACATATACATGGACAGTTTTTACACACTTTATGTCCAGAAAATGAAACACAAAGTGAGAATAAAAAGTTAATCATAGTATTTTGTCAGTTGTCTTCAATGAAAGTTGTATGTATATATATATATATATATATATATATATATATATATATATATATAGATAGATAGATATTCAAAGCTTTCCTTCTCCCCAACTAAGCTAGAGATTACACTTTATGTTGCTATTTAACCCATAGTTGGTGGAGGGGAAGAAGACATGAATTCCTATCTTTCTTAAGTATTTGTGTAAAAGTGGAGCCTCTACTCCAGACAGAGAGACACCTTGATGCTTTTCATCTTTGCTGTCTGAGATGTCTTCTGAGCATCAATTAGTCTGACTGGGTCACCAAAGCCATAGTTCTCACCTACGCCCAGTTACCCAGCCTAATTGGTGTACTTGGGAGCAGACAGAAGCTCTTCAGCCTTGGTTGACAATCCATCAAGTGACGGTGACTCTATAAAAAAACACCCATTCCTCAGCAACTGAGCAACTCATTGCCTCTCAAAATGTGCAATGACTGAAATTCTTAAATCCCATGAGTTGTGCAATCTGCTACACTCAGAGATGGTGTCTATATATATATATATATATATGTATGCATGTGTAATTTTTCTCCAAGTGTATATCAGTTTCTCTTTCTACCAATTTCAATTTCATTCTAGCAGCTTTTTTCTATTTCTATATATCTATGAACCTTACTAACTTGAAGCAAATATTTATCAGTTTGTACAAGTGGGTTGGTGAAAAGTTCTTTGCCCAACCAAAATGTCTTACCCCACCTTACAAAAAAAATCTGTTTGGTCAGATTTTGGAAAGTGGGTCAGGCTGAAGACTTTTAGCACCCTGTTTGTATTTTTGTATTTAAGAAATTTAAGAAAATGCCACTCACTTCAAAATTCTTGACATTCCTGAAGTCAAGAGATGTTCCATATTTAATGAATATCTTTGAACCTGAAACAAGAAATATCTGTGGAAATGGTCCCTGGAATGGATTGACTTGATGCTTATAGGAGAGCGACTTCAATCCAAGAAGAAGACGAGATGCTATCTCCTCTTTGTAACGTGGATGAATGCTAAAGAAATAAAAAGGCAGATAAATGTTCTATGAAAAATATTAAAATATCTTTTATTTTTTATTTACATAAATATTCTGCAATTTGTCTTTTATTTAAAAGTCTAAAAATGATTGGATATTAAAGTTTGCATATAAATAAACACATTAAAAATAAATTAATATACACTTTTATTGAATTGGATGATATTGATTAATGGGGAGGATGTGCTTGATGAGCAATATAAGGGGCATTGACATATGATGAAAATTGATGAGTTTTGTAATTGTAATTTCACAATGTCTTTATCGACCCCTTTTAACTCCTACCTCAGTATTTATCAACCCTCTGGATAATCCCATTAACCCCAGTATTCAATATTGACCTGTAACAGGGTGAATGTTGAGTATGTGTAATGTAAGTTACTCCATTGTTATATCTATTTGTAGTAGTAGTTGATAAAGGAATCCTTTTTAGTTTTTTATACTGAAAATTAAATGAATAAAATGTACAACAATAACAATGAGACCTTGAGACACTTGTTGAAATAAATGACAAGAATATGTTTTTTTCTTTTCATGATTTCAATTACAATATTGGTATTGTGTGTGTTAAAAATGTTCTCAGTATTATTGTCTCTTTTGTTTCTTTAAAAGTTTTTGCTTGTTTCGAGAATTTCGTTGTTAAAGGTAACATTTGAGACTGTTGACTGAATTTTTATAGAGAAAAGGAGATATATCTGTGGTCTTTTTACTACTGCTACTTTACTCACTGATCCTACTGTCTTTGCTTGTGGTGGAAGGGTCATTTTTATACTGATAAAGTTTCAGATTTTTAGAATGATGAAACATCTGTTAGACATTTTCATGATGGTCGTCTTCGAGTATAGAATCCAGAGGTTGGCAGTGAATATTTCGGAGACAGTAGGAAAGCGTAGTGCAGGTTCGCAGTGGATATCACAGCAAGGTAGCAGAGTGTAGTTCTTCCGTCTGTCCTGTTCCGCCCTGTGGTCATTCCAATAGGAAAACAAAGATGGCCGCCTTTATACACGACGGATACAGTGTTGTGCGGCTTCTGATTGGTCAACCTTCTATTGGTCGACTATAAAGGGAAATAAGTCATTTTGACTCACTCACTAGTTATACGTTATATACCCAAAAAACCGTAACAATATCATCATCATCATTTATCATCACTGGTGGCAAGGTTGTTTTAGATGTTGAAATTTTTATCTTATCCAAGATGATGAAATATCTGTATCATCATTGATCACTGGTGGAAAGGTAGTTTTTAGAATGATGAAATATCATCAACATTTTAGATCATAACAGACCATATTGTGGACCCCTGTTCTAAAATTATATTAAAAATTACCTAACATATATAACAGGGGTAGCCAAACTTGCTTAATGTAAGGGCCACATACGATAAAGAACATCTGAACTTTAACATCTGTTGTTAACTTTCTCAGTAACTGCAATAAATGACTGGATCCTTTTTTCTTAGCGCTCTCTCTAGTTCTCTGGCTCCCATCACCAATATTGATGGACAGAACCCCCTTTTTTTTATCTGTTGCTGCCTGCAAGTGCTGGTTTATATAAAAAATTGAGCATCACCTTTAACCTTGCAGGTGTTCTCAAAATATGAAATTTCTATTATTGTGTGTCTAAATTGCTACTGAACTCCTGCTTCCTTTCCCAGACCCAGCTACCTGTCAACACCCATTGAGTTATTAGAATGAAAAACCAAAGAGGGTGAAGACCAATAACACAATCTACCTTGGAGGAGAGTAATGACCCAATTCTCTGTTTCTTATTTTTACCAACCAAAGTTATATTAACATGTTCTGAATTCATAATTGTTAAAAATATTATTTATTTTAGCATGCTACGGTTGGCAAAATAAGAAATTAATATATTTCTTGCTAAACGTCAGGCTACCAATTTTTTGTTTTAAATTTTCCTTGATTTCATTTCTACTTTTGGTAAATTCCGTTTTTTTCTATTTTTAGTTTTGGGAGATTTCATTTTTTCCATTTTTATAGTATTTTATGAGAAAATTGCAATACAATATGCTATATTATTATTAAAACTGAAAAAAAAATATAATTCAAAGTTTTATTGTATATAAAGAAATAGAAAATATCTACAAATCTTTTTTTTTAAATGTTAAAATCCAAGTCCAAAAATAAATATGTAAAAATAAAAAAAATATAAAATGACTAGACAATAAAAAAATGGAATGTTATTGTGCATAATTATCTTTGAGGTAGAACTTTTAAACAGAATTTCCTTCTTTAAAAACACATTCAAATTGTTTTTGAAAAAGTAAAAAGATTTAGATTGATTTATAATTATTGATTCATAATATAAAAATCACATTTAAGGTATCAACATCAAATAACTTGAATCTCAATAATAAATATCTGAATAAAGTCAAACATTTTGACTAAAATTTTACAAACAGTAATTAAACCATAATAACTGGATCTTTGTAACAAAATATCAAAAACGAATTAGATATATTAATTCAAAATTTAAATAAAACAACTTATCCCAAATTGAAATACTGCTCAAATTTAAAATTGCTAATTTCTTAATTTGGGAAATATCTAATCTTCAAATGTCTTCCCTAAATCTCCATTGTAATACAACATTGCAAGTTGCTTGGTGTTCTCAGGGGTAAGACTTTCATATTGTTTATTGAGTAAATTTTAACTGAGAAAATTAATGTTCATCATCTATGCTGATAACAGGCATCCATATGACCTTATTGGCAATCTGTGCCAGATGAGGAAATCTGCTCTTATTTGCATTCCAAAATGATGGGATATTAAAAGGATTTGGTAAATCGTCTTGGTAATTCACATACATTTCGAATTCTTCAAGAAGATCAGTAGAAAGACATTGAAAGTCTTTGATGGCTACAAAAATGTCTCTAAATCATGGCCTATACAGGGTAGGTGTCTAGGATCAAACAGGTGAGCTGCTTTGGAAAAGTTATACACAGGGTGGGTATCCAGGTATTTATTCAGTTTTGAAAAAGATGTGCTGAAAAAATCTTGGAAATTTAAGATAACTCTCCTACTCTCTGTTTTTTTAGTTCAGACAGAAGACAATCAGTTTCTAGGCCAAATATCAATTTTTTGATGTACCACTATGCAAATATTGTTTTACATCCTCCATCATGTTACATACAACAACACATAAGCAGAGACTTAGTTTCTTCTAAGTTTGTCAAAGCTGTTATTAAACAAGAGCAGTTCTCATTCATAAAATTCTGATTTAGGAACAAATTATGGTAAGAGGCATGATGTAGTTGACCATCATCTACTAATTCTAGAATTCTATCTACTGCAAGGCCATGGCTCTGTTCTTGCTTAGGAGTGATATTTGACTGCATTAAACCAGGAATTCCATTTGGTTGCCACTGGTACATGAGGTAGTTTCACTTATTCCTTAGGCAAGGAAACTTCTAGGCTTTTTAAAAAGGGCTGACTTGATGAAAGCAGTGACCTGGGTAACATTATCGAATGCTGGCCAATGTGGAAATACTTCACCAACAAGATTTAAAATCTATGCTAAGCACAACACATGACAACTGTTAACTGGATGCATGCCTGACTTACAGTTTGAGGATTGCATTCTCACACGGTTACAACATCAATGAGAAATGATTTTCCACGAATGCTTGCAATTACATTCAAAATGCTGTGGTCATGACAGTTGTTTCATCTGTTATGATGCTGATTGATTGATCAGCAAAGTGACAAGCAAACAATTTTGGTAGATGAAGTTGCCTAACACAATTGACACTTGGAATAGCACCACTTTCTTTACAATGTTTTAATATAAATGGCCTCATTTTGTCAATTTTGTGTAGGGGAATGTCAGACAAAGTGCACATTTTCAAAAAATCAATGACAAAATCATCTTGTACTTCTTTACTCATCAACAAAGTTGTAATTGTCTTTTGTTTCAGTTGAGCAGACTTTTTTGAAGATTTTTTTGTCAAATGTGTTTTTGATTGCATGTGATCTTTGTGTCAACTCTAAAAATGTCAACATTATGGAGACAGAATTTGCAAAATAACATATTTTCTTCTGCATAAAAGTCATCAGGAAATTGCTCTACTCTGGCTTTAGCACAAATTTTAGATAACTGGGGTCATTTTCTTTTTTTTTTCTTTTGAGAGGAGCAGGAGGCCCAACTTTTGAGGCTGATTCACTATAATGACTTGATTCACTCATCTTGGCAATTTGTTGTTTATTTATACAACTGTTTTAGATCACAAAATATAAATAAAATATAAAAAAATAATCATTGACAGTTATTAAAGGACTTTTTTGTCCAATTTAAATTTGTTTACAATGGTGAAGCACTGAAGATGATACAATTATTAATCCGGGAGAATCATTGTGTGATGGTAAGCTTCAAAGTAGACAAGACAGTCATTTCATAGAATGGCGTTTTTGGAAAATTGTTTTTTTATTTCTAAATTGTATGGTAGGCACATTAGGTAGGCATTTAAAGAAAATGAATTTGTTAAACATTGGTTTGATCTTCATCTCTCTCTCTCCCCTCCAATTTTGACATCAACTAGTGTCTCTTCCATTTCCACTTTAGCAATGGATCAGTGGCCACAACCAAGACATGACCTTCTGACTAATCTCACTTGCAATATACAGTTTCTTAGAAAAGTTATAAAATATTTAATAATAGACTAGCCAAAATATTTTCAGAAAAAGGACAACCCACTTTTCTTTTTTATATGTCAACATTTGTTCTTAATTATTTTTCTGGTTTTATAAGGAAAATAACTACAAAGATTTGTAAAAATAAATTTTAAGGAAATAACTGCGTTATGTTATTGTTATATTTATTAAAATGTGTAACGAAATCGGAGAGAATTTATTAAGTTTTGAAAGGATTAAAAAATTTGAAAAAAAAAAAATTAGATAATTAATTTGTTATTTATTATTGAAAATTATATTAAAAACCCAGAATCTGTTTAAGACTAAAGATTCTGTGAGTCCATCCGCGATTCCATGATCGCACCTATAAACGATGGAGACAAATATATTTTTAGTTTCCCAGACAAGTTTTGACTGACATATTGCAATCCAATGTTTGATTCTTGGGGTTACCCAAAAGTGTATCTTTATAGTCTCAATTTCAAGCCATTTTGATGCCCTCTCTAATCTTCATTTTATATATCTAATTAATATTTTTAAACCATTCTTTATTTTAACTTCCCATTGAGCTATGATTTAATTAGCATTTTTCTTAATCTTCTAGCTTAATCTCTTCACTGCTAAAAATCAATGTTTTTAAATTGCATGCACCAATAAAACTTAAAACAAGATCAATATTTTTTTACAAGATGGGTACTACATATAGTCTATAAGGCACATGTCATCAGCTTGCTGTTCTACAGCAGCAAGACTTGGAGCCTCAACTCCAGACAAGTGAGACACCTTGGTGCTTTTCATCTTTGCTGTTAGAGATGTCTTCTGGGCATCAATTAGTCTGAGTGGGTCACCAAAGCCATAGTTCTCACCTATGCCCAGTTACCCAGCCTATTCATCCTTCTCCAACAGTGTCAGCTCAACTCTACATTGAAAATTTGCAAAAAATTTAAAATCACTTGTGTCATTTTAATGGATAAAAACATCTGTGAAAATAGATTGAGATAAATATCAAAAACATTACCTGCCATAGGGTGAACTTTTATCTGGTAAATCCATGGCAACAGCCATAAAAACATTTGGCATAAGCGTATTAGGCACAAAACCAATATTTGCAGTTTGTGCCCAACGTAGTTCTGGCCAATTAATATTGTTACCCATTGTAAAATAAGGAGCAAGCTGAAATTATAAAACAATGAAGAAACAGATTTGTATCCAAATTTTTTGGTTTTCATTTTCATGTCTAATTAAATCAGCTGACAACAAATGTAATATTTATTTCTCTCATATTAACCTGAAATCATTTTTTTTGTCAACCTAATACAAGACCCAAGAGCCACTGAATGAGATTGTTGTATTGGCATAATAGGATAAAGTATAGATTATGAGGATATGTAGGATAGATAATAATTGACAATAGACTTGAAAAGATTAAGATTGTAGTTGCCATAAATGTAGGCAATCGTGGCTCTCCAAATGTTCTTTCCTTTATTACCTGTGAATTGCTATGTTACTAAATGTTCACTCAAATCAAGGCCAAGAGCCACTCAAGGTAGAGGGTTACTGAATGAGATTGTTGTATGGACATAAGAGGATAAAGTGCAGATTATGAGGATTTGTAGGCTAGATTGACTTTAGATATAAAGAGGTTGTAGTGATTGGAGAAGTGTCTTTTCAGCAGTTTCTTCTACAAAGTAGGAGTTCTTGGGAAGAAGCTGTTTGAGTGGAACTTCTTACTAATGGAATATGAAAGGAAATAGGATGATTTGACTGTGTATTTGACATGGTAGGTCTTAGATCTGAAGATTTGAACTGGTTGAACTAAAGAATGTAGCTCGTCTGAACATTTTCCATGGAAATAGTAACAGAGGAGTGATAGGATTGTGATGTTTCATTTGTGGGAAAGAGGCTGTAAGGTAGAGAATAATTCATCATCTATAAAACCACATCTAGGCTTTTGAACTCCATCAAGACTGGAAATATCTTACATAATGGCAGATTCAAAGTTACTGAACGATACTATCCAGACTAAAAACTATTCAGGACTTATGGGCATATCACATTAAAACACCAGTTCTCAAAAGATCACCAAAGTTAAACAACGTCAAGCCTGGTCATTAATCTTGGATGGGTGTGGGGTGTAATGGATAAAGGCTCAGAATTGGAAATCAGAGAGCCAAGTTCCAATTCCAGTCAGGATCTTTAAGGTAAGAATCCACCACTTCTCCCACCAACTATTGGTTAATTAGGAATTGTATCAGTAAAATCATTATTATCTACAAAAAAATTACAATCTGAAAAAATATTTTCTGATATTAAATAATCTGCACAAGGGTGATAAACCATAAAACACAAATCAAACAATCACTCAATCTTTTTTCAACACTGCTAATCACTTATAAAACCTCATAGTTTATATGAAATATAAACAAAAATGGAAGAAGACAGCTAAATTCTAATCTGAGTTTTATCAATTATTAATTAGACTTTGAGAATTCTTTCTTTGCTAATAATTTCTTCTCCTACAGTTCTTGCTTGTAGAACTCTTTCCTGGCTTTTACAAACTCCAAAAATTTAAATGCAACATCAGTTGTCATGTTATGTATCTTTGAATCCTGTTCTTTGATTGTCCTCTCTATTTCTAGGTTTGGCGATCCTAGCGGGCGGCACCTTTGGAAAGTGCCTGAAAACCATACCACCAATTGACCCAAGCCTTGTGAGTGAAATCGAGTAGACAGAACACTGGGGGGGGGGTCATCGATAGCTGCGCTAGCACAAAGTCACAAGTCATTGTGACCAAGGGTTTGAGTGTGCTGGTGTTGTTCAGATTGTTGATCAAGCTAGATAACACGCTCTCTTCCAGAAACTGTAACTAAGGTCTGCTCAGTATAGTATAAACCACAGGTTGCTCTGTTGGTGTTGAACAAACACAAATCAAATGTGCCTGAATGAGAGTCTGCAATAGGGATTGGTTAGCCACTCTAGTAGACAGGTATCCTTAAATACAAGTGGCCAGCTATTATATATATATATATATATATATATATAAAATAAAAAATACTAAGAGCATTGAAATTTTAATCATTTTTACCAATTCTTAATTACACTTTGAGAATTCAATCTCTCTATACGCTTTCTATAGTCAAAAAAACTCATAAAGGTAGAAGGCATCTAAATTCTAATCAAAGCTTTATCAATTGTTAATTACACTGGGAATTTTGTAGTAAACTTGACATAAAAACCAAAGAAAAAAAATAATTGTATTTGTGCAACTGGCTTGATGCATAGGTTCCAGCTGAGAAATAAAATAAATTAATAAATAACAACAGCCAATGAAAATTCCCCCTACCTAAAAGCAAAAACCGTCATCTGCAATCTAGGGTGACCTATATGTAAACTAAACAGAAAATTTGATCGCATTGAGATCTTTTTTCAACTGCCACATGTCACATTTCGACACCTAATTCTGATATGAAGTAAACTTCTTCTGTATAGTTTAAATTTGTCATTTTTAACATTTATCATACCTTTCATTGGAAGTAGACTCTTACAAAAAAATTATTTATCTTTTGAACTTTAATAGTTTTCACAAATATTTTACGACATTGCTTAGGTACCCCCCCCCCAAAAAAAAACAGAAAAAAACAATACCTATGGTTTAAAATTAATTTTTTAAAATGAAAAATCTTCCTGGAAGATTTTATTTTAGTTTTACTTTTAAGCTAATAGATTAACTTTAATATTTCCAATAAGCAAAATATATTGACTGGAAAATGTTTATGGTTAGACACATTTTAGATTTTTCTAATTTAAATTTTTAAAATATTGAAACAATTTTGTAAAAATTCATTATGCATCAAAAAATATTATTCTTAAGACAATAGTATCCTTAATATATCTTATTTATAAAAGCAATTAAAAACTTTTCTAATTAAATAATCTCATAGTTTTATTACATTTTTTATTTTATGATTCATAGCAGATGTTTGGTAAATGGTGTTTCTGTTTCACAAAAACAAATTGATGATTTAAATTCTCCAAGGAGTCCAGCTTTTAATTAATATTAATACAAAGACTCTGAAATTTTAATTTATTGAAATTTCATAAAGTAAGTAGAGTTAACAGATTTTTTTAAAAATATTTTTACCAAGCTTTTCTAAAAAAAATTTAAAAAATAATTTCATTTGTGAATAAGTCCGGAAAATTTCATTAAAATCCAACAATTATTTGATTATTGCAAGAATTTCGAAAACAATGAATTTTACAGCAAAAAGACTATTACTCAAACTAATCTTAGGCTTAGCCACAGACTAAGAAAAAAAAGATTTTTAACCAAAATTTCAAACATGCTACAAAGGATTAAAAAATATAAAAAAATAATCGGGAAATACTTTGATCATTCCTCTTAATAATAACATAAACATTTTGATGATAAAACTTTATTTTCATCAAGTTTGGGGCCTTTTTTCATCATGGTATGCTCGTTTTTAGAAAGTTTTCGGAGGTACCTACTTAAATGTAAGTTAAAATTGCTACAAATGTTTAATACAAAATGTTTTCTAGACAAGAATAAATCAGGTTTTGCTTTGAAATTATCCTTGTACTCTTATTCGAATGTGTTCGGACACTTCAATGTGGTGTAATGGTTAGCAAGCTTGTCTTGCTGTATTAATTATTAATCCTCACTAAGTGCTCCCTACATTCGACCTTATGCTACATCTAAGCTATGCTTAGTACTTTGGGCACTTTGATATGGTGTAATGGTTAGCAAGCTCTCAAACTATATCAATTACTACCGAGTAGCAGGTGCTCCACACTTTCGGTCTTGTACCACATCTAAGCTACACTTAGTAAATCGTTATTCAAATGTGTTTTGCTTTATCTCTGTTATCAGACATAAGATCTTCCCTTATCATACCCGGAAGTTAGGCCACTCCCAGTTACTCAAAACATTTCTACTAAATAGATTTCAGTGACCATCACCTATTCAAAGCACTAGTCTAAGAAGAAAATGAAAAAAAAAAAAAAAAAAAACTGGTACATAAAAAAGATAATGATGGTGGTGGTTATAATGAGATATAAAAACATACCTGAACAAACCCAAAAGGAAAGTTTTGTGATGTTTCAGAGTTTGAGCCTTCATTGAACTTTGACCTCCAATCCTTGATCATAGCTGGGAACAAGCAGGAATATAGTTTGGGTTCATAATGATTGGATTCCCCTAAAAAGAAAATTAGCAGGAAATTACTACATATATGATGGAAAATCTCTTGATTTGTCAAGATATCAATATTTAATTAAAATGTAAATTTTGAAGTTTTAAAATTGAGACTATTGAAATTGAAACTCTATAAAACAAGTATCTCACATCAGAAATGACAGCAAAAAGGAATTTTGTGCAGCATTAGGATAATAACAAATGCAAACAGGTCACTTCCTCCTCTATCTCATTAAAATGATTTCTGGAAGTGAATTTAGACCTTCAGTTAAATCAATCAGTAAAAAATTGGTGGTTCTAAGACTGAATCAAAAAATTTTTGCAGTTCTTCAATCATTCAATCAGAATCCGGTTTCCAATAATTTATAAGTTGCCTAACAACCATAACATTAGAATCCTTTTAGTAACCCATTTTCTTTTCTTTTAAATGATTGTAAAAGCTGTCAAAAGTTTTCAAAGTTTGTTTTGGTTACGTAATACAAGTCAAATTTAAGACATTCTAGAATAGGATTTGTTCCTCTTCTCAAAGAATTTTAATTTTGACACCAGTCAACTGTTGCCAATCAATATTAAATCAATAAAAGTCATTACAAATAACACTTGTTTACTGACCTTGATACCATATAATACCATTTATAGTCATGTTTAACAAAGGATGAATCATTGCATTCCACAAAACTGAATCCATGTTATAAGGATTGCCATATTCAGTTCTACTGTAAACAAAAAAATAAGGCTATGAAATTTGTTAAAATAGAATAAAATTATAAATCACATCATGAGTCCCATAACCAGTTAGAGTTGTTTGGGCACTAAATTGTTACAAACACACATATGGTAGCATGAGAGAATTGTTCATATAAATTTTTTTGGTGTGTTGATACAGAGGATGGGAGCAGAATGTCTATTTGTGGGCAAGGGAAGTGACTTGGAGGAAGGGTGGAGTTCATAGGATCTGGAATTGATGTGTGTCGGGTCAGTTAAGTGAGATCACGGATGGGGATAGTGAGAGCTTGCTCATGGCAGATAAGTTGAAGTTTGCCTGTTCACTGTGATTTTGTTTCAATTGATATGAGCTGCATTCTTAAAAACCAAATGTAGTGGCTCATAAATTCATCTTTTTTCATGTTTGTTCTTTGGTGGTGATGTTCATGATTGGATTGTACTTTAAATTTTTTGAGGAGTATTTGTTTTGTTGGCCAGAGGTGATGCTCAGAGTCCCTGCACAGAGGACAACTTTTTTATTTTTGGTTTTGTTTTCTTATTGTTCACATTCAGCCAATATGCAGAGTGAATCAGAAAGAGATCTAATTTGAAGCAGAGTATAATAACAGGTACTGCAGCCATAGCAGAATTAAGTGTGTTTTCGGTAAAATAACTTGGCAGTCTCTCTTCAGACTGGTTTTGAATTCAGAGTTTTAATCCTAGTAGACTTGTTGATATCCAAAGATGGAGGAAGATATGTTTATGAGAAAATGAAATAAAATCAATAAAGAGAATAATAATAATAATAATAATAATGAATATTAAAAAAAAAGGATATATTTGTGAGAAAATGAAATAAAACCAATAAATAGAATAATAATAATAATAATGAATATTAAAAAAAAGATATGTTTGTGAGAAAATGAAATAAAAATAATAATAATAATAATAATAATAATAATAATAATAAAATATTTTTTAAAAAATATTTAAAACAAAAAATATTTTCAGATGATGCTAAGAGTAAAGGAAATATGATTACCCTACTTGGTTTCATCTAGCACCAATGGGCGGAGCTGGCTAAGTCTATAAAAAAACAAAAATTTTCCAGTGTCAGTCTCTTTCTCCCCCTTACTTGTCCATAGACCAAAAGAAAATGAACATACCCAAGAGATATTGAGAACTTTGTTTCACTACAGTCACCAAAAAAAAAAAAAAAAATGAATAAACCCTCTGGGGTCAAAACAAGCTTTTGTATGCTCCTTCTTAATGGTTTAAATGACAAACACATGTATAAAATAATATTCAAAGGTGTGAATAAAATAATATTCAAAGGTGTGTATAAAACAGCATTCAAGTGTGAATATAAAATATTACTCAAAAGTGTGTATAAAATAATATTCAAAATATAAAAAGTGTATTCAAATTCATGTTAACAATTATAAATTTTAACTGCGTAGTTTTATGCAATTTTTTATGAGATGCTCATAATAATAGAAAAAAATTCAATATGCTTACTTTTCACTTTTTTGACATTTCTTCAAGACATCAGGTGATGACCAAGCTTGAATGATTGTCCCTCCAACAGATGAGCTGATCAAGCCAATAGGATGCTTATGCATTTCATATAAGCGTCGACCAAACATCCAGCAAATTGCAGAAAAATAAGACCAATGTGGACCAAGAATTTTATCTGTAAAAACATTAACAGCATTTTCTTAAATATAACAAGACAAATGAATCTAATAATATTGATTTTGTTTTCACATTAACAATGCTATATTTGTGATGATAATTATTTATTTAACTGTCAAAACCTGAAGCAGACATAAATGTACAATCTCTCTGGAAGAATGATTATTCTCTCTCACACACACACACACACATATATATACACTGTGTAACAAATTATTAACAAGGGGACAATTTTTCATTCTGTCCAAAAACTACACATTGGAATTAAACAAAATTTCCACAGAATGATGGCAACCGTTATATGCGCATACCTTATAAAAAGTGTAAAGTTCTGCAAAAACACATGGAAACTACAGTCATTTACCTAATTTACTTAAATTATAACTGTTCCAGATTATTAGCAAGGTGTAAATAAAACTCATATGTAAACAAGAAAATAATGCTTTAATTACTTCATATACAAATTATTATGGATACATATGGTAACTGACAAAATAGATATCAACAAGTACACAGAGTTCAAAAATAATAGTGGAGCTAGTTAATAAGGGATAATGTGATCCTCTTCTTGAAATGACGTGGATAAGGCGATGATCCATGGAACATATCAATTTTTGGATCTCGTCTGATGTAATTCCATGTGATACATTCACTATTGCCTGCCACAAGTCCTTCTTGCTTCTAAATTGGCATCCATTTTCATAAACCCATCACTTCAGAATGCCCCACAAGTTTTTGATTGGGTTTAAATCTGGAGAATTGGCCGTCCAGTTCATTTTTTTGAGGTCTGCAGAAACCTAATTGTTACAGGTAGTCTGTAGTTTTATGTGCTACATGCAAGTAAGCATTATTTTGCATAAATATCATGGTTCTCCTAAACCTGATCCTTTGTTTTTTTAACCAAGGTGCTATCTCAGGAAGTCTATATAAGCAACTGCAATCATTTTAATATTGTCAAGCACTTTCCACAGACCAACCATGATACCTCCAATAAATCTAGCCCAAATCATGATACCCCCTCCTCCTTGTTGGCATCTCAAGCATTGATGATGATGTCATCTGTCCACGACATAACCTTTGCTCCAGCTGTCAGGCCATCAATTGTAGCTTGAGATTCATCTGTGAGCAAAACCTTTGAGAAGTCATGTTATCTACTGCCCATTTCAGATGCTTTTGTACGTGTCTTGTCAATGGAGGTGTTGTCACCAGTTTCAATGATTTCTCAACCTTTTTCAGAAGATGACATCAAGTACTTCCAGACACAGTTGTTTCTCCACTGCACCTGAAAAGTTCTCTGCTGGTCAGGCCTGTGTTATTTACAGCTTCATGTTTAATTTGCGACAGAGAACATTGGGAAACAACCCATGAATGACCCCTATTGACTCTCTTATGTATCTTCGTCGGAGCTGCAACAAACCTTTTCACAGTTTGGTGATATCTTCCAATCATTTTGGATATTTATACTGTTGATTTACCTTTTGCAAGTTTAGATTTTATAACAGATTTCTCAGAAGTGGTTAAGTCACAATTGTGGCCCATAATTGCTTGATTATGAATTCACTTGTTAATAATTTGGAACACTGAAGTAACATGTTATTCATGCAAATGGCTGCCATTTGTTTACATTTGCACAGAACCTTACAGTTTTTACACAGCACGCATATATTACTGTTGCCATAATTCTGTGAAAATTTTGCTAAATTTCAACATGTAGTTTTTGGACAAAATGTAAAATTGTCACCTCATTTATAATTTGTTATACAGTGTATATATGTATAAGTATATATTTGAATAAATGTCTGATACCACAGAATTTGTATAGTTTTAAACAGGCAAAACTGAATTTTTTTCCCTAAAAGGTAACTTTTTTTTATCCAGTACCTCATCAGAAGAAGAATCATTGACAAGTATTAAAATGTCAACAAGAATCATGGAATGCTAGACAAACTGGAAGGAAATGAGGAACTATGATTAAAATACAATTTAATATTAAAAAGGGAGAAATATATATATATATATATATATATATATATATATATATATACACACACATGATAATCAGCATGGCAGATGCCAACAAGAGAGTGACTCACTGCACCTTCTCGGGCTAACATATTCCAGTGGCATGAAGTAGAATGATTATATAATCAATTGCTGCTAGTTGGTTCACTGTGTCATGCCAGACAATTTTCCTCGACTGAATCTATCTTAAAAATTTAAAAGTCTATCATTCATCCAAGCATGCATTGGATATTGCTGTCACTCCCAATCTTGTGTTTTTGCTATGTATTTAGAGATTCCTTATAAAATCCAAAGAAGAATCTTCAATGTTATCGGTCATGGCTTCAATCACTTTCCCACCATCATAACATAATTTCTCTGTGCCTTTACTATAATTATTTATGGTAATTGTTCTAATGAGCTTTTCTTTTTGATAATTGATTTCATGGATTTAAGTGCAGTACTAAATTGGCAGTGAGGTCCCATGATTTTACAGCTGACATTGCTTGATGTATCTGTAAGTTCTATGCTAACAATTTCTTCTCTTGCTCTTCTCACTTGTGAAACTCTCTTCGGCTTCTTGCTTTCTAGTCAACTTTGATCTACAAAAATTTAAATCCAATGTCAATTGTTATCTTCTGTCTTCTGTATAACTTAATGTTTTTTTTTCTTTTTCTTATATTCTTTCACAGTCCTTGTCTTTTAGTTGGCTTTACTGCTTTGTTTTGGATGAAATGAATAAACATAATTGATTTTCATAAAGTAAAACTGTTAAAATAAAATTCTGCTGGGATTTTGGTGTAACAGTCGCAAAATGGACTGGTATATGCATTCCCAGGCTTAGAGAATTTGCTTTTTAGTCGTAGGATCATAGCAACAGTAACAGGGTTAAAATTATGAGAATAATTTGTAATCTTCTATAAAAATACACATACATGTGTTTAGCTGTAATTCCTGCAAGTCTGCTACCACTTAGGTATAAGGAAACTATCATATGTTCTTTAGCTAATGCTGGCCAAAGAGGCAACACAGGAATTATATGCTTCTGAATTTAAAATTCTCCAAAACACCATTTGTCCCTTTATCATTTTTTGTTATTTTTTTTCAAATTGTTTTTGTTTCTATTTGAAAAGTGTTTTCCTTGTTTGTATATATTTTTTTAAATGTATTTTGATATATTTGTTGTTTCTAGTTTTCACAGTGTATTTCATAAATTAGGAGTTCTTAACCATTGTAATGACCCACCAGGGAGAATTCCCACCAGGAGAGGGATTTCAGGGTTTTTTGGGGTTTTTTTCGGGGGTGGGGGAGTATCTTACTTTTTCTTTATTTACAAAATTTGGAGCCCATCATGAGTGTAAAAAAACTATCTATAAAAATAATCTATGTATATGTACTAATATGGAAAAGAATGAAGGTTTTTCAATAATATATGCATATTATTTGAAATGCACCTTTTGAGTCCAACAATCTTGGAAAGGTGGTGGATGACATTCTGTCATAAGGTGAAAAAGGTTGAGAATCAGTCCCAAATAAAAGGATAACATCAGTATGAAGCATGGACCTTTTTCACTGAGACCTGTGGTCAATATAAATTTATTTATTTACAAGAATAATTTTATATTTACAACATTTTAAAATATAATACAATTAAAACTAATGCAATGCAATATTTATCACTTACCAAAGAAATAAAGAAATAAATATGAAAACAATTTTTTAAAAATAAATTTATAAACATTTACTAAATTATTAAAATATCAGAACCAACTATAAGGAAATTCTTATTATTTACCATTTTTTAAAGTTTGAATCAACTGGCAATTAGTCAGTGTTTTACCAACCATTCCAGTTTACAATATAATAAATAGCTATTTAGAAAAATATGACAAACTGTAAAGGATTTTTTCTGACACATTTCATCCGTTAGGATTTCATTAGACTGTGTTTTGTTGATGTTGCCACATCTACACATGCAAACGAAATAAGAAACACAGGTAGTTTCAAAATTTTTAAAAGAATTTTTTTTTCTCAATCTTTCCAAATTCATCTGGATCCTTTTTCTTTCCATCACCTTTGTTGCTGACTATTCCACACTGACAATATAAAATCTACCAAGAATGGTGATATATTGTAATCTTGGTAGATTTTATTGTTACAGTGTGAGATAGTCAGGGACAAAAAGGTGATGAAAAGAAAAAGAATACAGATAAATTTGGCTAGATTGAGAAAAAGAAAAATATTCTTTCGAAAATATTTCTTTTAAAAATTTTGAAACTACCTGCGTCTCTCATTTTGCGCACATGTGTTACAAAAAAATCTTTTCAGTTTTTTGTCATATTTTTTCTAAATACTCTTTGACTTTGTTGATATAACGTTACCACAATAGTGTACTGTAAATAAACACTCTAAGTGTTTATTAATTTTGTTGTCACTTAAGAAAGAAAATGTATAACTTTAATTTCATATCTTTAGTTTTATTAAAATTCTACTCATCACTTTTTAAAACAATCAATAAACATTGCCGAGATCGAAACTTTTTTAAATCGATGGCGATTGAAAAAGCGTCCTTCTGACACTACGTCCTTTTGCGGCCACGAAGCTTCAAGTTTGCCATAAAAACTATATTAGATAATACACATAGATGAGTTCAGAAAACAACATCTGAAAATAAAGAATGCTCTTCTAATTCTGTCAGAAATTATCACTGATCCTATGCAGTGACTTTTTATACCAAAAATGACGTCGTAAGATATGCGACAAAAAATTACCCAGGTCATGAGAATTATTTCCCTTGCACCAAAAACAAGAGAAATAACTTTTATTTTGATATAAGGGAAATAACTCTTTCAAAGTACAATTTCAAGAAAATGTTTTTTAACATTGATATTCACTCTGTACAAGACCTAACAGCCACTTGAGACAGAGGGTTACAGAATAAGAGGCACAGTTTATGGGGATATGTGGGTAAGATAACGGCTAACCCCCAGACTTGAACAGATTAAGATTGTAGTGATCGGAAATCATTTTCTTGGGAGTCAGTTCCACAAAGCAGCAGTTCGTGAGAAGTTACTGGAGTGGAACTTACATCACAAATAGAATGCAAAATGAATGAAGATGGTTTGCTATAATGTGCATGGTATGGTGAGTCTTAACCATGAAGGTTAGAACTGATGGAGCTAAGGTATGTAGTTTGTTTGAACATTTTCCATGGAAATAAGAAGCGAGAGGTTTGTGATGCTTCATTTATGTGAAAGAGATCGTAACAAGATTTGCTAAACAAGTGGCATTATTAGTTTTGATTACACTCTTTGTATTTGTCTAAAATTCATTTATACAATTGCCTTTTAATGTTACTTAGAGCAAACATATAATTTCATTCAATTCAAAAATTCAATAATCACTTTTACAGGTGAGCTATTGTTATATTATCATATATTGCAATGTTAATTTTGCTATCAAAAAATGGAAATATTTAAGTTTTTGATATTGTCTAAGTACAATACAAATGTGAAATGCTATCTATTGTCTAGGAGCAAAAATAATTTAACAAATGGTGTTTTTTTTTTTTTTATTTCACAAATATACAATAATAAAAATTATATTTTTATTCTGTCACCATAAAATCTCACTACATAGTGATATGTAATCCATCCATTTTTAGTAAGATAATAAGATTGACATTATCATTTAAAATTTAATTACTGTAAATGTAATTATTAAAATAGGAATGAAAAGACACTGAGACAAGATAAATTCTATATTTATGGTCAGAATGTTGTTTAAACAAGCAGTAGAAATACAGAAAGACCTATACCTGTGTTTCACAGGTACTTGATAAAGTATGATACAAAGAACCTGTTTAAATGTTGGAAAAACTTGATCTATATGGAAAGGATATATGAATAATATGTAACTGTATCAGGAACAAACACTTTGTATGCAAATAGACAAATTAAATTTCTGCCAAAATCAAAAGAGTAATGCAAAAAGAATGATGTACAGGCAGTGTACTGGCATTGAAAGTAGAATCAGTGAACTGAGCTCAAATTCCAGGTTAATCTTTTGAGTTGACTTTCACACTAACACCCTTGGAAAAGTTATGAATCCATCTCTTTTACTCCTAGTTAGGAGTTAAATAACAGGACAGACTGTGCTTCCTAGCTGTGTGTGGAAGCCTGTCAAAGAGAAGAAAGATTTTGAATTCCAACCTCTGGAGATTCAATATCTTTTCCAAGAATGATTTCCAACCCGTTGATAATGAAGAAAAGGAATCTGTCTGTAAAGAGTCATGATCGCCAACGTCCTGAAGGGACATGAAATTTTTTTTATTTTAATATGAAAAGAATGTGCTTTCTCTCCAAAGTTATTTAAACTCAACAATAAGAATTAGATGTACCAAGATTTATTATCAGCTGACATAATCTTAACAATATATATTGTTTAGATGATATTGTCTTTATGACAAATTCAGAAGGAGAACTAAAAGGACTAAATAAGGTAGCAGAAGAAAACAAACAGAATAGATGGATTATGAAATGTAAGAAGATTGAATGCATGGTTGTGAGTAAAAAGGACAGCCCAGTATATGAACTACTATAAACTAATAGAGAAATAGTCAGAAAAATGATGAATATAGAGCAGGAAATGAAAGACAGATATATATATATATATATATATATATATATATATATATATATATATATATATATATATATATTATATAAATACATTCTACATACATTTTTAGTGCAACTTAAAGTTTCATGGTTTCCCAAGTTGTCAGAGACATATGGTAAATGAGCCGCTTATTAGTTTTTAAAAAACAACTGTAATAAGTGACCCATTTGCCATACTTGAAATGGTGGTGTCTTATGTTTTTTACACACGTCACAATTTTTTCATGGGCTGCTTATTACAGTTGTTTTTTAAAAAACAACTGTAATAACTGGCCCATTTGCCATACGTGCCTGACAACTTGGGAAACCATGAAACGTTAAGTTACACTACAAATGCAGGTGTATGTGTATTGATTAATATATACTTCATAGTTCTGTTTAACTACATTTAGCACTGTTTTGTTTGCATCATAAATCAAATTAAATGAATATTTATTAGATTATCTGCACATGCACACTATTGCACACATATACAGTTGCTAATATCTCGTTATTTAGGTTTTTTATATATATATATATATATATATGTTTTTTTCATAAAAAAAAATTTTCCCTAGATCTCACCAAATATTTTACATCTGAACTCCACTCCCTAATGAGCCTTCTAGACTACACCATACAGGCAACAATCAAGGCTTTAGTCTCAAATCTAGTGCATTTTACACCCTACCCAAATTATACAAACTCCCTAAAATAATTGAAGGCACAACCACCAACCTCTCTATAGAGGACATCAACAGAAACCCACACAAGTGCATGACCTGATAGAATCTCTTAAGATCCGTCTGCCTGTCTGGCCAATAGTTTCTGGTATAGGAACCCTGAGACAACACATCCCTGGTTACATTGACTAAATCCTCAAACCTCTACTACCCCCTATCCCTAGCTATATTAAAGACACTATCAATTTCCTAAGAATTCTGAGCAATACAGATAGTTTACCTGACAATGCACTCTTTGTGACCATGGATGTGTCATCCTTATATTCTAACATCCCACACAAGGAGTGAATACTAACTTGCAAAATTTTTTAAGCATCAGACTCTTCCATGAGCACCTTATTTCAAACAATATATATTTTATACTCACACATAACAACTTCCAGTTCAATGGGCACCATTTTTTTCAAGTTAGAGGCACAGCAATGTGAATGAAAATGGCCCCCAGCTATGCTAACATTTTCATGGATGCCCTTGACCAAGATATGTTTAGTAGATACCACCTGATACCCTTACGCTAACACAGGTACATAGCAGGCATCTTCTTCATATTTAATATATTACTATTAAAGATATATTCATGTTTTAATAAGAACAACTAATCTCTCTTTCATTATATAATTTTTTAAAAATTAAAGTATGTATATTCCCCAAACAAATATATAAGTTTTTAATTTTCTTTTTTACATATATTTATAAATCCTGCTTATTTTAATTGCCTAATATAATTTTACAATTAAAAAACTATAACTACAACATCATTATGATAACCAGATATACTATAATTCAAAATTGTGTAATGGTCAGTTCATACTCAGCACCTGCATGAAACTCAGTCATAAATCTTACAGGTTTGATTCCAATTGCAGAGTGCATATTTTCTACAAAATTTCTTGAACATTCAGACCAGTAAATGCAATTAATTCAAAAAAATAGAGCATTTAGTTGAATAAATTATATCTATAAAAATAACATACAAAACAGAAAATATATTAAATAATTGTCAGACATAATCCATTTCCTTATATATATATATATATATATATATATATATGAAAAAATATAGTTATGGGTTAAAGTGCTCAATATCAGGGATAGAGCATATGTAAATATAAAAGTTCTATACCCAATGGCAACAGTTTGTTCCATGCTTAAAACTTAAACACAATCTTCAGACCATATATATATATATATATATATATATATATATATATATATGTATGTATGTGTGTGTGTGTGTGTGTGTGTATATGTGTTTAAAAAGTTTTGCTGAAGACTGACAAATGTTTTTTGTTAAGGTTTTCTTAATTTTTTTTCTACATTTCAGATTATTTTCTTGGTTTCTATTATTGCTTGTATAAGTTTTTAGTTCATGATATTGTACAATGCTAGACCAATAAGTTTATAGTTCTGTTATTAAATGAATTTTGATCTGAAATTTTCCCAGTATAATGCTTAATTTTTATGATTAATATTTACCATTGATCAGAAAAAAGATTGTGAGAAATAAATATTTATTGTATAAAATAAACACTTATTAACCTATGAACTTATTGCTGCATTTATATATAATATATTTATGTTTTATAAATAAAACTTGGTCTATTTAAATACTATCTTACTTATAATAAAATCCAAATTTTGAACTGGAATTGTCAGTTTTATTTTCATCATCCCAACCCAACTTAATTATTTTAATCTACACCCAATTTCTAGTACTTTTTTTCAGAGATGTTCATCCTTTACAAGGCCCGGGAGCCACTTGAGGTAGAGAGTTACAGAATAAAAAGCACAGTTTATGTGGGGAAGATAACAGTTAACCCTAGACAAGAACAGGTTAAGATTGTAGTGATCTGGAAAACATCCTCTTGGGAGTCAGTTCCACAGTGCAGCAGTTCATAGAAAGAAGCTGCTCAAGTGGAACTTATATCTCATCAATGGAACTGGAAGGGAATGAGGGTGGTTCACTATAATGTATGTAGCATGGCAGATCTTAGTTGTGAATGTTAGATCTGGTGGAACTAAGGAATGTAGTTTGTCTGAACACTTTCCATTGGAATAGGATGAAATAATTGCTTAAATTTTAAATGCTAAATTCATATGTATATGAGTTATCTGAATCTCCAAACCAAATATGTAAAATATTTTCCTTTAAAGAAAGCATTATGAATTAGGAATATAAAAAAAGAAAGGAAAATATTTTTAGGAGAAATAAAATCATGAAATATGAACCTGGTGCTGCAATTGACCATGGCTCTGTAATTTGAACAAAGTCATCAAAAGATACATTGGAACTGCTGATGCCAACAGTAAACACTCGGATTTCTGGATAGTGGTTTGATGCAATTCCTTCTTTGGTACCATTGAATGCCTATAAAAAAAAACAATCAAAATGCACAAAATAAAATAAAAGAAAATAACTTCAGACATTAAAAATACAACACAATGAATTTAAAATAAGCTTATGAAAAACTTGACCTAAGTTAATAAGTATGTGGGTATATTAAAAGAATTTAAATTTTTTAGAGAGAGAGAGAGAGAGTGGGGGACACAGTGGAATAATGGATAGTGTCTCAGATTGAAGAATCAAAGAGCTGAGGTCGAATTGGGTTTGTTCCATTCATTTACAGGCAAAAAGCCTTGGGAAAGGTATGAACTTATTTCTTCTTCCCCTAGCTATGGGTAAATAGCAGGGCAGACTGGTTTCTATAACTTTGGGTAACAACTGGTTTAGGAGAAGCACAGTTCTGAATTCAAAACCTGAGAAGGGTCATTTGGGGATCTTGTGGCCCACAATGTGCTCCAGTTTTCTGTATTTGGCTCTTCCCAAAAAGTGTGATTGGTTCTGCACAGGCCTTCACCACTATAATCGAATCATATGTGTGAGTAGTCTGGCTGTTTAGTTATATTTACCGAGTTGCTATATTCTCATACACTGAAAATGACAAATATATATTTATTTATTTATTTTAGGATATTACAACAAAAACATGTAAGAATCGCTACACAATTGCAGTCAAGTTTCAACACATAGCGATGTGTCTCTTCAGGTGATTGTAAATTACTAGTGAGTTAATGATTAATTTGATTTGAAAAGCAAAATACATCCTCATTTTTGAAAAAAAAAATCTAAGGTTTAAGGGCTTTACCCTGATCAACCAATCGAATATGACCGATGTTAAATTCAAACTGTCTTAGCTGTGGATGAATGAACACATACCTCAGTGGCATTTGCTGGTATCACCACACATTTGGTAACAAGACAAGAAAATGTACCCAACCTTGTCGGCATAACACCAATAGACACCAGTAAATTGGTGAGTAATTGTAACTACCCCAACCAGTATGCACAAAGTCACCTATTTTATGTAGTTAACAAAAATAACAGCTACAAATTCCTAGTGGATACTGAAGCAGCAGTCAGTGTCATTCCACTAGCACATGGACCCAAACCCAATCCTAGTCTCCTTAGACTACTAGTTGCAAACAATACATGAATTCATACCTACAGCACAAACGATTTGACACTAAATCTTGGCATGTACTGAAATTTTACATGGACATTCATAAAAGCCAATGTACACACACGCATTCTTGAGTCAGATTTTTTGCCCATTTCAACTTGTCAATGAATATGAAACACAGAATACTTTCAGACAACAAAACTAATATCCATATTACAGGAATTCATACACAATACATATCTACCAACAGTGCAGCAACTAGTCATAGCACAGAATTCCTTGAAATTTTGAACAAATATAAGGATATTTCAAAATCTTTTTAAAATTCTGACAATATCAAGCATGAAACAAAACACCAGATAAAAAGTACTGGACAGCCAAAATTTTCACACTCATAATGACGACATCCACACAAATAGGAAATCATCAAAAACAAATTTAATAAAATGCCACAGGAAGAGATAATCCACTCATCTGAAAGCCATTATGTCTTTCCCATTACACTTTGTTCCAACACGAGACAAGGATTTCAACCTTGTGTGGATTTCCATAAAATAAATATATCCATTGTGCCTGATTGTTAACCAGTTCCACATATACATGATTTCACACTCAGGTAACATGGATCCTGTATATTCTCAAAGATTGATCTAGCGAAAGCTTACTTCCAGGTCCCTTTAGCGGATGAGGATATTCACAAAACACCAGTGACAACACCATTCAGGCTATAAGAGTTTGCCCAGATGCCATTTGATCTTAGGAATGACACCTAATCATTTCAAAGACTAATTAAGTCCTGAGAGGATTAACATTTGTATACGCTTACAATGATGAGATCCTCATTGCAAGTAAAAATGCTAAAGAAAACAAAGACTATATGCATCAAGTCTTTCAGAGATTATCTCAATTTAGAGTAAAAATCACTTTAGATAAGTTTACTTTTAGCACCACTTAGCTTAAATATCTTGGAAACGTCATTGACCGAAATGGGATTTCACCCTTACCCAGAAAAGTGGAAGCTGTTGAAAATTTCCCTGTACCTAATCCCATCCGGCAGTTAAGAAGGTTCATTGGACTGATAAATTATCTTCTTCATTTCATCCCTAATCTAACTTCTATATTTTTTACAATTAACCAATCTATTGAAGAAAAAAAAAAAAAACATCACTCTACAATATGATGCCTCCCATGCCTTGAATACAGCCAAATCCATCCTTGCAAACTTCACTAAATTCTCACACATCAGTAATGACAAAAACACAAACATCTTTCTCACTACAGAAATGTCCAACACAGTGATAGGAGCTGTAATTGAATAGAAAATTGATTCAGCATGAAAACCTATTTCCTTTATCTCGGTGAAATTAACCAAGACACTAAACAAATTATAACACCTTTTCTAGAGGATTGTTGGCTATATATTTATCAATTAAACAATTTAGACATATAAACAAAGGTAGAAACTTTATAATATACACAAATCACAAATCTCTAACTCATGTTATGTACTGCAGTGCAGAAAAATACACCTCTAGAGAAATTAGATAGATTTTATTTCTCAATACACAACAGATATTCATTATATTAAGGGGCAACAAATATGTACAGATATTACAACAATCACCAATGATATATTAAAACATGATTTAATTTCTGATGAACAGAAATCTGACTCCACACTAACACAAATATCATGAAATATTTCTTTAATACTGAAACAATTTCCAGTTCCTTTCATCAATAAAACTGTTGTGAAGTTGAAGTTAGCACTAATCAGCCGCTAAGCTCGTACTTCTATCTCGTTATTCCCAGTGACCACTTATGTGAGTGTTCACTTATGCTTATACAAATTATGCATACTAATTTGCTAATATCACTACAAAAACAGTTTATTGTGACACTACATTAACCAACCTTAGACCATACATTCCCTCCACACTGAGGAAAGAAATATTTCAACACTTACATAATCTTTCACACCCAGTCAAGGGATCCATTGTAAAAATCATAAATGGACATTTTGTTTGGCCAGACATGTCCTCAACATGCCTAGAATGCCAGAAAAATAAAATACAATGTCATACCAAAACACCAATAGCAAACCAGATGCAAGATTCAATTATATAGATATTGTGGGTCCCCTACCAAGCTGTCAATGTTATTCATATATCTTAACTGTTGTTGACAGATTTTTACATTGGTCTACTTCAATTGCACTCAAAGACACATCATCAACTTCAGTCACAAATGCTATTTTAAAAGACTGGATATCTATTTTTGGAGTATCCAATATCATCACCACTGATCCTAGCACACAATTCCAATCATCCCTTTTTCAAGAATTCAGCAACTTGCTGGGAGCAAAATGTATTAAAACTACAGCATAACCCCCCCCCCATGTGCTAATGTATTAGTGGAAATATTACACAGGCAACTCAAAGCATCATTAGCCATGAAGAAAAACTCAACCAATGAGATTGATAAGTAACCCTATGAGGAAATTATTAAAGAAGACCTTGACTGCACACCAGCTGAAATAATCTTTGGCACACCCTTGTCACTACCAGGATAATTTTTTGAAGATGATATACGCTCTAATCTGACATTGTACTTTATACAAAAATTAAAAAAATAAGATATTGCAATTACAATTGACACCTACTCAAAATTCAACCAAACACATATACACAGCAACAAATCTGTATACCTGTGAGTACATTTTCGTATGAGATGATGTCATAAAAAAAAACACTTTCAGCAAATTATCAGGGTCTATACAAAGTCTTACACAGATCAGACAAATATTTCACAATACAAAAAGGGAATAAGTCAAATACTGTTACTGTTAAAAGATTAAAACCATCTTTCTTAGAAAAACAAAATTAACCGCACAAACATTCTCCTTATGTTGAAAAAACACTACAATCTAACAATACATCACAATGTGACAATACATCAGCAATTCTAACCAGATCAGAAATGAAAGTCACATTTCCCAAAAAATTCAAAACATATTTATTACTAATTAATTGATACAGCTTATGCCTGATCAATTTTCTACAAGTAGGGGCCTTGTTATGCCTCTTACATCTTTCTACACAAAATAGATGTTGACTGCTTGATGACCCAAAGCAAACTGTGTACATATATTTCTGTGCATAGGATGCACCCATATATCTGCTTTAACCAAAATAAAACAAACATTTTATTGAAAAGTCAGAGCCACTCTTACTCCAAAAACCAAAACCTTAATTCAGAGCTGATTGATGGCTATACATTCTCTAATTAAAACAAATCCAAAACAGACCTTTCCCAAAATTATTTGTGTGAAAATGAATACAACGAACTTAATCAAGATTTGAACTCAGCTCACCAATTTCTAACTCTAAGCTGCTAACCATTACACTATTTACAGTATTTACATTGTTCTGACTGTTGTCCTCATTTTTGTTATCATATTTCCAATGTTTTGGCCATTGTATACTTCTGCCTTCTTCAGCTGATTAGAATTTTAAACCAAACCCTTTATTTTGTCCACTGGGAGCATACAATGGCCAAAAAGTCATGAATATGACAACAAAGATGAGGACAAAATTTCAAATATTGTAAATAGTTACAATACGTCATCTCAGAAATATAAGACACTACCTGCACATCCGGCTTATTCTTAAACAAAGCAACACTCTTAAAGAAGCAACACTCTTATTCAATTGTTTGCTGCAATGTGGGAATTTTGAAATCATATTAATCAAAATTTTTACTGTGGATATAAAAAAACAATCGCAACTAATTTAATGATGTTGATCAAAACTCATGTTTATTAAGGAATACCTGTAACTATTTATTAGCAGGCATAACTTTTAATTCTTTATATTATTTCTTCAACAGAGAGTTTTTTTTAATAAAATGTTAAGTAAGTCATTGATATTCAGAAGACTGTTTATACAAAATATACTACTGCTGGCAAATTGCTTTAAAATAAAAAATCTGAACTCTTACCATGTTTGTGGTGAACTGCATATTGCTTTGACCTGAACAAATCCAGACATCTCCAAAGAGGACATTATTTAAAGATAAGGCAACCTTTGAGGATAGCACAATTATGGTGTGAGGGCCTCCAGGTTTCATAGGTGGAAGTTTGGCTTTCCACATGCTGAATTTGGCAGACCAATGATAATAGCTCCGAACTGATGCACTTAATGAATGATCAAGAAATATCTTAACTTCAATTCCTGGTCTTTTAGCATATCCCCAGAGAATGGATCGGTCAGGAGCCTTTTGTAACACCATATTGTCATCATAGTAACTGGCAAATGATATATCTGGATTAAATGTTGGAGCTGGAAGCACAAAAATAAAGATACTTTTATTTATGATTTGTATAAGAAATAACAAAAATATATATTAAAATGAAATGTCTATAAATGTCAGTGTCTAGGTTATGTCATGACAATGATAGATTGTTCTTAGATAAGATACTCTAAAAGCCAGGATGTGAAAAACTGACTCCATGAACAAGCAGAGTACAATAATAACTGAAAAAATATATTTAAAGATTCACATATGAAAAAAATACTAATAGTAAATACTTAAAATATTTTGTCATTTAAAATGTTTTGCATAATTTTGTTTTAATCTTATATTTTTAAAGAAAAATGTTTTTCCACCAAAACATAAGGGAGACACTACATTAATTTCAATGAATACAGTTTACACTATCAGTTGTAACTTGAAAATAACATTCCAATGTTTAATTAACTAGTTTACTCTCATTAAAAATAAATAAGCCAATAAGTTTTAAATGATTAGTTATTTAAGGCTTGTAGCGTCTTCTATTTCATGGTGGTTTGAAAATGTGTATAACTATATCCACATCAGCAAAAATGTTAATAGTCAATTAGCATATTTTTGTTAAACAGGTCTTCTTCTCTTCTGTACTGTGTCCCCTCAGGATGTTGGCGATCATGGCTCTCCACAATTTCCTGTCCTTTGTAGTTCTTAAGAAATTTTTATCTTGCCATCTCTCCCAAACCCTGCTCCACCATCCATTCACTTAAGCTCAACAGGTAAGTTGTGCATTGCTTTCCTCTGGCTCTCTTACCTTCAATCTTTCCTGTGAGTATCAAATTTTCCAAGTCCTCTTTCCTCATCATATTTCAACTGTCTCTTAAGTATAAGTGTCATTTTTGTTGCCATTGTCTCTAGAATTTTATCATTGCTCACATGCTTCATCCATGGTATTCTCAGTATTCTTCTGTAGAAACACATTTCTGTTGCTTTATATCTCTTCTCCATCTGTGAGGAGATTGTTTAGCATTAGTTTAATGAACACAATTAACTTTATATTATATATGTGGATGTTGTTTTGTCTGGAGTCCTGAAATGTTAAAGAATGATAGCAAGCTGTGTCAAGAACAGTAACATATCTTTATATAATAGGTACCATACAGGAAGTCAATAGTATATAAAAGTGGGCAAGCAGTCTACAAAGTAGGGTCATAACTAGGGTCATTTGGTTACTTATGTAATATCTCCCTCCTCTTTGAACTTCTGATTTATTTTAATTAATTTCTTTATTTTTGTCTGTGTGTGGAAGTAGACATGGGCACAGAGCTGAAGAGGATAGAAAGTGTTGATATTGGGTTAAGTGCAGAGGTGTAACTGATGGAAACAGTTGGAGGTATGTTAGTATTTAATAGGTTAGTCCACTAATAGGCACTTTGGTTTATTGATATCTATTCATCCCGATACTGAGTTGGTTCGCAGATGGTTCATCCTGAGTGTTTATATTGGTCTGTTGGTTGTCAGCAATCTTCTTGAATTAACCAATGAGAAATAAGCAGTCCTTTCATAGTAGATCTATAGATGTGTATATAAACAGATGGAAAATCAACCAAAACCTGACCATAAATTAATTTTGTCAATTCTCTGTTGCTGTGGTCATTGTACCATACCCAGAGATGAAATATGACATTTGAATGACTAGCTAGTGACTTTACACAGCTAAACCATCCTGATACATTGAAAACAAACATACCTTCCTTCATCAGATGGTCAAGCATCAGCTACATTTACATGCATACATATATTTATTTCCACCCAAACTCTTTCTCTGTCTAGCTTTTATATGCACCATAACTTTTACACAGGAATTCTTGGAACTTCAACTTCCACCTTATCCTTCTGTATTATTATATTGTGATATAAAAAGATTTATTTTTTATTTTTAATACTTCATGCATTCTCTTTTTCCAAGGCCAATATACACATAACAAATGTAGCTTGTAGAGGGAATGGATGTTGTCAGAAGATAACCTATTAACCTCCATCGTGACTCTTTAGGCACTGAATCACTATTTCTAACGCGGAACTTTTAAAATATGCTCACCGCCTAATATTGCGGTGTTAAACTAAAAAAGTTAATTGTCATTTCTCTCCTTATATTTCATGTCAAATGTTAATTTTAAATAATTATTAATTGATAAATAAATCTACTAAGTAAGTTTTAATTTACAGTTATGTTGTTAACTCCACTGGATCATTAGAAAAAAATTAAACCAACAAAATTTAATTATGTTATGATGACTAACAACAAAAACAAACGAACGGTAACCCAGATGCATCAAGGAAAACTTGTTTTTTTTTTTAGTTAGTTTTTAATGCTTATCAAATTTAATTATTTATTTTCTCAAGATTTCATATCGTGAAAATATGTCTTTTTATATTTCTTGAAGCATGGAAAATGAAGAAAATCAACCCTTTTTTTTTTTTTTTTTTTTTTTTTATATTAAAAAAATTCAAACAATAATAACAATCACAACTAAAATTTACTTTTGATGTGTTTATTGTTTGAAAATTTTTTAAAAGTATTAATAATAGTAGTATAAGTAATAATTACTTATACTTAACCCACGCGCAAATGTCAATCAGTCCAGAGGCTTGTTTTTTGTTTTTTAAATTAAATACTGCGATGAGGCTCCCTATGGATTCTTAATTTAATGCTCAAGTCAAAGGCCACAGAAGTAGCGTGGGGTACCTAATAACGATCAAATTAAAATTATTTTGCTAAACCATCTCGCTTTATGGTACACTACACATGATCACACCCTAGTTTTTGGATATTTTAATAACATTTTTTTTGTTCCTTGACAAAAAGTGTACTGTTGTGTTAGTGTTGTTGGTTGACATAAAAATAATTAGTATTTCAAACGGGAACTTTTAAAACTCACAGTAATTTGGACTTTCGTTTTGAATATTCTGTATTAAAATCGTCTGATGAAATTTTGGCAGAATTCCCAGAAAAATAAAAAATAAGGCAATGAGCACAGTCATGAACAGAGGCAAAATAACTAATAACCGCCTTCCTTGCCGAATTCGCTCAGTGTTGACAAACGTGAAAAAAATATACTTCGTTTTTGTGGTCTCCATTTAAAAAACAGCCTTAGATATTTCTTCAGAATTGCCTATGATATACATACAGTTGTTTGCCTAAGTCAACTCGAAGTTGTTATGAAAATCACGTTGATTCTAAAAGAGAACACATTTTAAGATTGTCTGGCTAATAGTACGGAGGACTAAAATAGCCGTAAAAATATTTTTATTTACTTCTCACACATAGTTATGTTGTTGATTTAATGGAATAACCTGTCATCCCCATGAGTTACTACACTATAGGTAGTAACTAACTTAAAGTATCTGTAAGTCAACGAACTACAGAGGCTAGCTGGGATCTGTTCTAACTCTGCTAAACAGTCAAACTCTCTGACTGAAGGCAGAGAGGAACCCGGACGAGGCTCCACCGAAGGGCAGCGTCTCGTTCGGGGAGGTAGACTGACCCTGAACCCGTTTATATGGGTTCGAAAGGGAATATATTACGGACTCGGAAAACCCACTGTTATAAAATAAAATGACATATCTCGGCTGATTTACAGGCAAATACTCAAGAGCGAGAACCGGATGTGAACGGGACAAAGCCCCAAAAGGAAAAATGACCATTATCTTTCTTCACAAATGTTTCCGACACCCGTGTTCCGGTCGAAAAATAAAAATAATATTTAAAGTGCTCTATTTTTCGTCCAATAAAAATGCTTCTCTCCTAATTATACTCGCTTCGTTTCTCGAGCCTGTTAAGCCATAAAAAAAAACGCTATAAAAGGGGTCACACGGAAGTTCAACAGGCAGTCAACAGGTGGCCACAAAGGAGACCGGTCACGTTTAGCAGCTGACAGCAGGGGAGCGTCAACCACCGTCAACATGTGTGAACTACTATGAGAGATCGACCTAGATCCGAAAGCCGGTTTATGAACTTTACCACACCAAGGTAGCTGTCCTAAACCCTTACGTTCCTGTTGAAATAAACCACGTAAATCTATTTCTACTGTTGTCGTATTTCTTTCTTGCAACCATACGCTTGTCTATAACACCACGTTAAACAAGCCTTCTGCCACATGCAGCCCTCGTGGGCGGGTAGCTAAATATACTGGCTGGGATCTGTTCCAGCTAAACAGTCGAACTCTCTGCCTCTGAGCAGAGAGGAATCCGGATGAGGCTCCGCCGAAGGGCAGAGTCTCCTTTGGGAATGTAGACTGCCCCTGAACCCGTTTATGCGGGTTCAAAAAGGGAATATTTTTGGCAGAGTCTCGTACGGGGAGGTGGACTGCCCCTGAACCCGTTTATACGGGTTCAAAAGGGAATATTTTTGGCCGAGCCTACGGACTCGGAGAACCCACGTTAAACAGGTCTTGTGCCACATGCAACCCTCGTGGGGTTGGGGGTGGGTAGCTAAATATGCTAGGTGGGATCTGTTCGAACTCTCTGCCTTCGGGCAGAGAGGAAACCGGACGAGGCTATGTCGAAGGGCAGAGTCTCGTCCGAGGAGGTAGACAGAGCCGAACGCGTTTGAGTTACGGGGAATTTTTTTGGCCGACTACGTTAAATTCAGCCTTGTGCCGCGTCCTACCACGTGGAGAGGTTGGTAAATATTGCTAGCTGGGATCTGTTGAGTACGATTCAGACTTTCGCGAGAACTACCGAACTTCTATTAGTAGCACTCACTACTGGATTGACTTGCGACGAACTTGTGCATAACTATTACCTTTATTATTATTGTACTGGTTGTTTACAATAAACCTTTACTTACTTTATCCACCTTGTTTTTCAAGTATATATTCCTATTAGCACTTGGTATAACAGTCGTATTGTAAAGATAATTCTCGAAATTATTACACAAGTCAAGTATTTATGTTTTAAACTGCTGTTTGTAGAATTAATCAAGCTAAAACGAACAAAAAATATTTTTCTCCATTTCTACTTTACACCAAAATAAGTGATACGTGCTTTTATAATTCCTACTCATCTTGCAAGCTACAAATTGTGATTCTTTTCAATAAAACCCACAAAGCAAAGTAACCAATTTTAGAATTCTAATTTTACTTGACAAACGCAAGCATTCTAAATAATGTCAAAGATGGTTTGGAATTGAGATGATGTTAATGAACAATTTTAGCCCATGGAGAATATAAATTGAATGACAAATATAATTTTGTTTCATACTAACCAGTTATATTTACTTATGTGCTAATACACTTGGGAAAAGTATGAATCCTCTTCTTCTACCCCCAGCTATGGGTAAATAGCAGGACAGACCGGGTTCTATAGCCTTGGATGGCAACTGGTCTACCGCAGAAAGAAATGGCAACCTACTATGGGAAAAATCTGCTTCGTCAGTCATGTATCAAAAGATACATGATCGCCTAAGCGAGTATCACAAATGGCACATAACTGAACTGAATGGGATCGGAAAGATTTGTGCGAACCTATTACGCACGAACATATACATACAAACACAAAATCCCATGTACAATGCCAAACGATCATTGGCTAATAAATCACTAATACATTTTCTACAGGCAATTTACAAATCGCAGTAATGCAAAAATTTTGGAATCGCTTTATTTTTAAGTAGTCAAATTTATGCACTTTTAGGAGAAATGGCTCACAGAAGCTTCCTTAAGTCTCCCCAAAGCTCGATCGCTGATTAGTTGATGCCAATCAGATCGTTTGCACGTGAAGAATAATTTTTCCCGCGCAACGAATCGGAGCCTATAGTCGCTTATTTAAGCCAAGATTTTTCTCATCTCAATTAGTGAGACCTCAACTGCTAAACGAATTCACGACAGTTGGAACCACGCGCCAACCTTCTCACTCACACGCACACCCACATGCTGAAGATAATTTGTACACCTTCACCAAAATACAAACTTTTTACGTTCACACACAAACACTCATGAACATTTATCCAGTGAACTTTAAACCAAATAATTATCTCTCACTGAACTCTTAAATTCAATCAAAGGGAGGCAACTCTTGAATAATTCAGCCTTTCTTACTGAAATGCATGTTTTCTTTCACATCGTTTTTTTTATATTGTACATCTTGTTAATATACATACATTTTATGTGTAACAATGTCTTGTGGTTATTCTTCTTGCGTCAGTCCTGTTTCTTATCAAAGTTAAATTAATGTGGTGAAGTCCGCCACAGATCTCTTGACAACATGCTAAAAATCTGCCTTGCTTTATCAAGCGGGAGTGACAATTGTCATTGAGAACTTTTACAAAATATTCTTCATATTGTCTCCATTACATCAACACATCCCACTAACCATTTACTCAATGCTCTACAACAGACACAAACATATGTAATGAAATTATGATTGTGCTAACTAAATGAGAAAAAGAAACTTCTCTCATATTTAACATTACGTTTTATTCAACTTTGTATTTCGTCAATTAATGTCGGTCAAACATGGACCTAACATTCTCGTCTGCGATGTCTGAGAGACTACTCCTGCTGCTCACTCCTGTGTATGTGTGTGTGTGTGTGTGTGTGTGTGTGTGTGTGTGTGTGTGTGTGTGTGTGTGTGTGTGTGTGTGGACCTAGAATCATGCCAGAATAGACTTTGCATTCAGCGTCCAGTGAAGCTAGGTTCAGGGTTGACCTGGTCACCGGGTGCAGATCTGACCAACATGTTAACACATGGTCGATACAGCTGCAAGTGTGGAGAAACCCCCGTGGTAAGAATCTTTCTACACACACGCGCGCGCACACACACACACACACAAATGTGGTGATGCAAATATTAACTTCTCGAACTGGCGAATTCAACTTTTGGCCAAATTGACAGCATGTCATTCTGCCAATGGAATTAACCAACAAACTTTCCAACTACAATTTCATTGTATCGTAATACATCTATTCAACTGTTAAAAAGTTATATAACATCTGTAATGTCCTTTCTGATTATATAATATATATTGATGGTCAATTAACTAAAAATCCGCAGTAATTAGCAAACAAATTATTGGGTCTGTGGAACCAGTCTCCTCGTATTTTAGGTGGAAAAATGAAATCCAAGAGTCGTGCCCACAAATATGACACAAAATTATAAACAACACGAAGAAATGATCTTCACAGAAAAAAAGAGACCAAGCTAAATATAACAATAACATTTATACAGGCAGGTACATCTATTTACATATTAAAAATCAAGGTTCTTTGTTGTGGCCATGAAAAGACCAATAGTCGATTGCTCAAAATGATTTGTCGTAAGTGAGTCTGTAAAGTTGGAAGTAGTTTTGTTGCAAATGAGTCATAGTTTGTTTTTTATACAGGTCGGTAATCACAAAATAATGTAGGGTTCCTCAGATTATAGCAGCAGAAATATCCTTATGTTCACAGGAAATAAAAACATACTTCACAGGAATACAACATACACAGAGATAACAGAAGAGCATGTTAAATTATACATTAAGTGCTTTATTTTGTGTACTGGTGTGTGCGTGTTTTTGGTTACAAGTGTGTTAAAGGTTACATGTAATAAAAGGAAGAAGTTCTTCGTATCATTGCAAACAATATCCCAGAAAGAGAAGTTGTGACGCGTGTTGACTGTCCGCCGGTCAGTAGTGACGTGATTGAATTCAACGTTTTTTTGGGAAATATCCGTTTTCCGGTAGGAATAGTTTTTGTTGTTGAGAAAACTTTTTATTACTTTTATTTAATTTTAAACAACAACAACTTAATGTTATTGTTTTATTTTATTTATAATAATTATTATTACTATTATTATTATTATTTTATACTTTTATTTTTATTTATTTATAATAATAATGTCCCTACATCACATCCCCACCAAATTAGCGGAGCTAATCGATAGTGATGAATGCCTATTTAAAATAGAAATAGTCATTGTTTTTTTTTTTTTGTTTTTTTGTTTTTTAATGAACTCTCCTCCCAGGGTGTATAGTTGTACTTTTTTTTCTTTTTTTTTTTTTTTTTGCTTTTTGTTTGTTATTATTATTATTATTATTGTATTTGTTGAGGTGGTTGTTTTGAGTGTTCAGCAGTTTGTTTCATTTTGTTTAGGGGCTG